GAACTGAAACACAGCTATCATTGCAAATTCATGCTCTGAATTTTGCAATGCAGCTGTTCGACAGAGGCATACCTAGGGTCCTCTGTGCCCTTGGCAAGGATCTTTACTGATGTTCCCCCCCTCTCCCCAAAAGTTTGAGACCCAGGCAAGGTTGCATAGACAGAAATAATGCATCTCCTTGTGGCTGGACAGGGTGTCAGCTTTCTGCTTCGAAGCTGCTCTGAAGACCCCTTTTCATCCTCTCCTACAGAAGCAGCTTTTCCTGCTGGAGATCCTGATGGATTTCTTCCAAGGGCGAGGCAGGTGCTGGAGTCCTGTGCTGGTGGTGGTGGGTACTCCAGGTGTCGTGGAAAGATGCCAATGCCTGATAGGTGATTTTTGCACCCACTCTGGGCCTGCATTTGCAGCAGGGGCAGGTTTTTCCAACCTCTGCTCCTCAATCCAAAAATGTCTACTAAAATGTGTAAAGTGGTACCTCAGGTTAAGTACTTAATTCGTTCCGGAGATCCGTTCTTAACCTGAAACTGTTCTTAACCTGAAGCACCACTTTAGCTAATGGGGCCTCCTGCCGCCGCTGTGCCGCCAAAGCCCGATTTCTGTTCTTATCCTGAAGCAAAGTTCTTAACCTGAAGCACTATTTCTGGGTTAGTGGAGTGTGTAACCTGAAGCGTATGTAACCTGAAGCGTATGTAACCTGAGGTACCACTGTATTTGCGAAAACAATATACAAAAATTTGCTTTAAAATTATGCTTAGGGGGACATAGGTGGCAACACAATAATAGGACTTTTGTGGTGGTTCCCCACTTGTAGAGAGCTCTCTTCAAGGAGGCTTGTCTGGTGCCATCTTTATGTGTCTTCAGGTGCCAGGCAGAATCATTCATTTTTCATCTGGACTCTTTTTTTTTAATCTGTGGCCTTTTTGCATGGGTGGGATGTTTCAATTCAGTTTTCAAAAACAGAATTGTCTTTTAGATTTTTTTAAAGGCTGGTTTTAATATATATAGTGTGTTTGTTTGTTGCTTATACTGTTGTAATACATTTTACTTGCACTGGGAAAGGAAAGCAACTGATAAATTTAACTAGTAGCAATTATAATACAGTGGTGCCCCGCAAGACGAATGCCTCGCAAGACGAAAAACTCGCTAGACGAAAGGGTTTTGCGTTTTTTGAGTCGTTCCGCAAGACAAATTTCCCTATGGGCTTGCTTCGCAAGACGAAACGTCTTGCGAGTTATTGCGAGTTTGTTTCCTTTTCTTAAAGCCGCTAAGCCGCTAATAGCCGCTAAGCCGCTAATAGCCATGCTTCGCAAGACGAAAAAACCGGAAGACGAAGAGACTCGCGGAACGGATTAATTTCGTCTTGCGAGGCACCACTGTAATGTGTATATCAAGAGACACACGCATGCAAAGGCTGATTCACTTTTGTGAGGGCTTTCTAAAAATAATAATTCTCAAAGTGCGGAAATGTCGCAGATTGAACTTCTGATTGGAATAACAAGGAACTGAGGGAAGCTGCGTTTGATAGATTCCCACATGCCTACTCACATAAACTTACAGATTTATACATCTCTGTAGTGCTGCTGTTCACTAGAACCCAAGCCGCCACAGACCAGCCCGTGTCAAGTGGCTGGTTAAAATAGAAAAGAAAAAAAGAGGCAAAAGATTTGAAATAAATAAAATTAATTTAGGGATAGCACCCTCCAAAAACACCCCAACAACTCACCATGTGATCTATTGCTGGTAGAAAGTGACAGCCTCATTCTCTGTGCGCAGATCCCCCCCCCCCCCAATCATGCTGAATCGGTATTATTGCACAAACACAATTAATGGCAAGTTTTCCAGGCAGGCAGCACCTGTGGCCATAACGGAGCACAGTATGAGCTGGAATACAAAATCCATATATAGATTTCTCTCCCTCCCTGTGTCTTCCTGGTTGTAAATGGCCCACACAACTGCTCTCTTTGGGGGCGGAGGTAGAGTGGTGGCATATATGAATGTATCACATGCAGAGGAATTTAGTTCTGCCAGGGTCAACCAGAGAGGGCTCATTATTGTGGCTGGCCTTTGCAGGGGAAAGATTTAGAAGGAGGGGATAATCTGAGTGCTCTTAAAGAGCCGATGGGAATGGTTCTTCAAGGGACAGTGGGCGACATGGAAGCACGGTGCCATTAAAGCGTGATGAGATTGTGCCTTCAGTAGCTGATTGCTTGCATCGTCCTTCACAAGCGCTTTCAGGGGAAGAGAGTCAAGGAGAAGTGGAAGGGGATCGATGGAAGAATATTACCCATGAGGCCAGTCCCAAGAATAAGTGATCTTATACACGGACACACACTCAGGTATGTTCACGCTCATGCGTGCTCACACACAGTCGTACTACTCTCCTCTGGAGAAGTTTTATCCGGGTCCTGATCCTATATGCTTTTAGTTCAGGGAAAAGGCAAGTAAGAGGTGACTTGATTGAAGTTTATAAAATAGGTGCAAACGGGTCAGTGCACCTGGCTGTTAACCGGATGTTGGTGGTTCGAGCCCACCCAGGGATGGCTGGTTCCTGCACTGCAGGGGGTTGGTCTAGATGGCCCTCGGGGGTCCCTTCCAATTCTACAATTCTATGCGTGGCATGGAGAAAGTGAACAGGGAATAGTTTTCTCCCTCTCTCATCACACTAGAACTCATCAACATCCAGTGAAGCTGAATGTTGGAAGATATAAAAGAATGAGATTTTCCATGCAGCACATAGTTGAATTATGGAACTCAGTCTCACAGGAGGCCAGTATGGCCACCAACTTTAGATGGCTTTAAAAGAGGATTAGAAAAATTCATGTAAAGGTAAAGGCTATTGATGACAACTAGCCATGATGTTATGTTCTGTTTCCACAGCTGGAGGCAGAAATGCTTCTGATTAGCAGCTGCTGGAAACTGCAGTGGTGTGTGTGTGTGTGTGTGTGTGTGTGTTTGCATTCAAATCCTGCTTGTGAGTTTCCAGTGTGAAAACAGGATACTAGACTAGATGGGCCAGCAGGCTTTTCTTATGTTCTTATGCAAACTTCCTGGGAAGTAAGCCCCACTGAACTTATTCCGAGTAAGCATCATGTATAGGCTTGTCTTATAAAAGGGCTGCCAACAGATTTAAATGCATTCTACTTAACTGGTCAACTCTCTTTCAATTAATTATTTAGTTAATTGAGCAAATTTAAGCACATGTTCAAATCATCACACCTACCTCCCCCCCCCCCCAATATTTGTGCCTTTTTAAAGGTACTTAACTACACCTTAACTACACATATAGGGACACGGGTGGCGCTGTGGGTTAAACCACAGAGCCTAGGACTTGCCGATCAGAAGGTCGGCGGTTCAAATCCCCGCGATGGGGTGAGCTCCCGTTGTTCAGTCCCTGCTCCTGCCAACCTAGCAGTTTGAAAGCACAAAGTGCAAGTAGATAAATAGGTACCGCTCCAGCGGGAAGGTAAACGGCGTTTCCGTGCGCTGCTCTGGTTCGCCAGAAGCGGCTTAGTCATGCTGGCCACATGACCCGGAAGCTGTCTGCGGACAAACGCCGGCTCCCTCGGCCAATAAAGCGAGATGAGCACCGCAACCCCAGAGTTGGTCATGACTGGACCTAATGGTCAGGGTCCCTTTACCTTTTTAACTACACATATGCTAATGTAGAAATGTTTTATTTTTTTTAATTGCCTATGACAGCAACATACTGGAAGCAAAGTAGTTTCAGAAAATAAAAACTAGTGCCTTTAACTCTCAACCAAATTGATCAAAGAATGCTACAAATCCCCAAACAAATTCTCCACCAAAATCCAGAGAGTGGGAAACATTCAATTCTGAAACTGTATGCGCATTTGCATATTTTTTCTTATTTCGCATTGTATAATTTATTCAGCAATTTTGTTTGTTTGCTTGTCTTGCTAGTTACTGAAAGGGGAAGCAGTTTTTTCATGGCATTGAAACCACTGGAAATCTTATGCAGCATTTTTTTTTTTTACCCCACACTAGTTCAAAAATACTTTCACAACCGTAAGGTCTCCAAACTTAACATTTTAAAAATGCTAAGATTCTCAGAAAGCTGTATCCCTCAGCAAATACCACTTTCATGCAGCTTTCTACATTTCTACAGAATCACAGCAGAAGACTAGCTTAATTTTCTTCTTCTGTTCCTGTCCTTTTTCATTTATTATAATTATTATTAAACACTTATAGAGCACATACATTTTCCAAAGCACTGGACATTCACACACATACACAACAACCAATCCTTTTCCACTGGATTGCAATCTAATAGACATAATGGCACCAAAGGAGAAAGATAGAGGAAAGCAAGCAATGGAACAGCTGCTCCTTCACTAGCCAACGGCTGAGGCCATATTTGTCTTCCCTTGCCGTGATGCTCATTCTGGGAGTCAGGCTCAACAGCCTCCTAAGTCATCTGCACAGAGGCAGAGGTAGAGCAGGAGTAGGGAACCTTTTGCAGCTTGAGGGATGCATTCTCTTCTGAGCAACTTTCCAAGGACCATATGCCAGTGGTGGGTGGAGCCAGCAGCAAAAGTGGGTGGAGCAACGAATGCATCCTCCCCCCACTTTGTACAGTAGGCTGGTTTCTACACATACGCCCCTCCCTATTCTCCATCCAGGCAAGCAAGAGGTGTGATCAGAATTTAAGGGCACATTCTAGCCAGGCCGAAACACCTGGTGGGGGAGGGTATAGCAAGGCCAGTGAGGGGGCCTGGCTTGGGGATAGGAGTATAGCCTAGGGAGTTCTGAGGGCCAGATACAGAGGTCTGGGGGCCACATTAAACCCCTGGGCCTGAGGTTCCCCACTCCTGGTTCTGCACTTCTTGGGCACCATGTTCTATATCTATTGGTTTCAAGCTATTTGTTGTTGTTGCAAATGGCCCTGAGTGCATTGGCAGAAAGACGTTGTGTGAATGTACAAATAAATGCATGCTAAGAACAGCCTCACACAAAACAGCTGCCCTTCATTTACAGGGGAAGGGCCATAGCTCAGTGACAGAGCATCTGTGCAGCAAGCAGAAGATCGCGGGTTCAATCCCTGGCAACTCCAGGTAAGGTTCGGAGAGACACCTGAAGAGCTACTGCCAGTCAGTGTAGACAATACTGATCTGACTTAGCATTAGGCAGGTTCTGATGTTCCTATGAAAAACCCAGCTTGCATCCATTTCCAGACGATCAGTGGTATAATTGTTGTTGGCCCTTTTTAGTACGTTCTGTTTTTCATGGTAGGAGAATGTGCTACCTTTGTGAATGCCGTTAAAGTAGCAACACACATGTAATAACTTTGTTATTATTCAGTAATTACTGTGGGGTTCCTTGATTATTTATCTCTCGCAGAGCATACAGTAATTGTGTTTTGGCCGTGGCATCTAAATTGTACTATAATTACAGAAAAATTTATAGGGGTTTTTTTTATATAAAAAAATACTTCCTACAAGTTAAGCTTTTAAATCACACAGGCCCCATGTAAATACTTGAAAATTATCCAGTAATTACTTATTTACATTGTAATTAAAATAAGTAATTAGCATACATTTGCAGAGGATTTACATACTTATTGGTGAAAATAGTTTCCGCGGCAGATGCAAAGGAAATCTTGGGCTGAACATAAAAAAGAAGAGGAGGAGGATAATATTCATATGCAAAATGCACCCCCCCCAAAGGTATAGTGGTTGATATTTAGTCATTTTGGATCTCAATTGCTAGTAGTTCAAAGTTTCCTGTACATCCCCAAACCACATCCCTCCTTGGGAGAATGTCAGATATTGAGAGGTTCAACAAGAACAAGAACTACAAAAGATTTCTTGCTCTCTTGCGCCACCATGGCAGATGTTTGGAGGGGGAATTGCACCTCTCACCCTTATATACCCAACCAATCACCTATGAGAGAAAGTAATTAATAATACTAATGCTAATGCTAATTTTATTATTTATACCCTGCCCATCTGGCTGGGTTTCCCCAGCCACTCTGAGCGGCTTGCAGCACATAAAAAATAGTAAAACATTAGACATTAAAAATTTCCCGAGACAGAGTTGCTTTCAGATGTCTTCTAAAAGTCAGATAGTTCTTTATTTCCTTGACATCTGATGGGAGGGTGTTCCACAGGGCTGGCACCACTACTGAGAAGGCCCTCTGCCTGGTTCCCTGTAACCTCACTTCTTGCAGTGAGGGAGCCGCCAGAAGGCCCTCAGAGCTGGACCTCTTCATGCAGCGCATAATTAAGGTGTGGAACTTGCTCCTACAGGAGACCAGCAACATGGATGGCTTTGAAAGAGGATTGGGCAAATTCATGGAGGAGAAGTCTATCAATGGCTACTAGCCTCAATGACTACAGTCAGGCCAGTCATGCTTCTGAATACCAGTTGCTGGAAACTGGTAGCACAGGAGATTTGCTCTTGTGCTCAAGTCCTTCTTGCAGATATCCCACTGGAGAATCTGTTTGGTCACTGTGATAACAGGAAGTTGACCTAGATGGGCTTTTGGCCAGACTCAGCAGACTCTTATTATGTTCTCATGTTCAGTCATCTCCCACCCCTCCTTTTCTCCCTTGGGGAACCTTTGGGTCTTCCTCCACCGCCTCCTCTTCCTCCTCCCTGAGGCCATGAGTGTGCCTGTGTTTACATGTGTGCTCCAGAGGGCGAGAGGTTTTAACCGTGATGTCTTGGAGAGCACCAAACGCGTGGGGCTGACCCCCAGCCCTCCTGTCACTGTGTGTGTAATGAGTCCCTGGGAGGATATTGATATGACAGCACCAAAGGCCAAGGTGTGGGAAGGACAGCAATACGTAGGGGTCTCACTCCATTTGTTTCTCTCACCAAATCCATCACGTTAATGGGTCACCTTTCTGTGGCAGTCGATGATTACCTGCTTATCCAAGGAGAGAGGCAGGTACACAGGAGGTTGATGGGGTTGCGGGGAGAAGAGAACAGGGTTTGAGAGGAGAGGTGTATGCCTGCTACTGCCACTATACGTACGGTGGTGGGTGTTCTTTTTATTTATTTTTTTAAGTGTTGTGCTGAGCCTGAAGAATTTATGATGGGTCAGCTCAATTGTGTTTCCCTGCTAGATCAAGGAGACGGAGGCTTATTTGGGACGGATGGAATGACGGTGCTGTTGGTTGTGACAAATGATTGCTTAGGAACGGGGGGGGGGGGAGAGGTGGCAGGGAAGCTAGCGGGAGCTGCTTCAAAGCTCAGGTCCTCTTCCAAGTTGTGTGTATGTGTGAGACACAGCTAACAATGTTTGCTTGTTGCTCTTTGCTTCAAGTGCTTTCACGAACAATTTTTTTTGGGGGGGGGTGTGCGTGCGAGTAAAACACTGACTCAAAATGTTGTTGGCGTAGCATGGTGGTTAAGAGACTAACCTATGAATCAGTATTTATTCTGCTTTGAATTTCTGCCACCAACTCACCAGGTGTCCTTAGGCAAGTCTCTTTCCCTCCATCTCACCCCCACTTGCAAAATGGGGATAATAGTACCGCTTCATGGGTTGTTGTAAAAGATTACCATAAGATAATGCATGCAAAGTGCTTTACAGTCAAAAATGCTATGAAAACACTAAGCATTTTTATTATCATTATTCAGACAGGCATTCAGATAAAAGAAATAAAAACAAGAAAGTTGCTGTTGTGGCCATTATTAGTTTTAAATTGTTTGACATGTAATTTTAAAAATGTTTTTATAAACACAATTGCTTAAAATGTTTTTATATGTGTAATTGTATTGTAAATTGATTTGAGATAGGAAGTGATTCATAAATGAAGTATAATAATAATAATAATAATAATAATAATAATAATAATAATTTGTTTGCCACTCCCCCTATGAAACTCAAAGCAGTTTACAAAAAATAAGCATTAAGAAAATATTTCAGTATATGTTTCCATTTTAGGAACTTGAGCAGTACAGTGGTACCTCTGGTTAAGAACTTAATTCGTTCTGGAGGTCCCTTCTTAACCTGAAACTGTTCTTAACCTGAGATACCACTTTAGCTAATGGGGGCTCCTGCTGAGCACGATTTCTGTCCTCATCCTGAAGCAAAGTTCTTAACCCGAGGTACTATTTCTGGGTTAGCAGAGTCTGTAACCTGATGCGTCTGTAACCTGAAGCATCTGTAACCTGAGGTACCACTGTACAAGAGAATTGCCTCTAAAACCTAGAAAGAAATGGAGTTTGATATTTTTTTACTGAAATGTTATTCCAGCTAGATTTGAAGCTGCATTTCATATATAAGAACCATTCAGTCTTGTACACTTGTAGAATGTATGAACTAAGCATCATAAATGCTACCGCTACCACTTAAATATTTCTTACCTACCCTTTACCATGACATCCCAGGGTGGATGACAATTTAAAAATACAATATTGAAATCAATTTATATAGTTTATATAGTTGGGAATAGGTTGGGTAATAGATCTGTACATCTATGTATCAGTTGCCAAAGGCACAGTTAAGGAGCTGTGTCTTTAGCATATGGCCAAACCTACATAATGAAGGTGCTTGGCACATCTGTGTGCAGAGGGAATTCCACGGTGTTGCCACAGGAAACGCTCTCTCCCACCTGCATCCCCACCCCACACATTCAAGGGCGCTGGAACCACTAATTTGCTGATCTTTAACACATGAGATGGTCTGTAGGAGATGGTTTTTCATTTATTTGGATCCTAAGTCATTTAGGGCTTTTACACACTAGGGGAAGCCCCTTGAATTACCTCACAGAAACAAACGGGAAACCAATGCACCTGTTTCAAAAACAGGGGCTTATCTGAGTTCTAAGCCAGTAATCTAATTGCTGCACTTTGGACCAGTTGAAGTTTCAGTGTTGTCTTCAAGGGCGGCCCCATCCAGAGTGCACTGCAGTAATCCAATCTGGAATTGAGCAGAGCATAAAGTACAGAGACCAAGTAGTCTCTCTCCACCCCACCCCCACCCCAAGGAGACGTAGCGTATATGGTATGCAGCACCTCTTGTGCCTCGCTGGCAAGGTGAGTACTTTGGGTGGTAGTTCTGGAGGTCTTGTGTCCCCAGAGTCCAACAGTGACCAGGGTACTGAGTAAGAGGCTGAACTGTCACAGGCTCAAGGAGTCAGACCAGGGTCTGAACTTGATACTGGTGTTCAGGGCAGTAGCGTAGCTAGCCAAGGCTGTAGGATGCCACGGGGGAGTTTGAGGTCAGCACAGTGGTTGTTTCATGTTTGTGGTGCTTCAAGGGGGGGGGGAATGTGTGAAACGGGGGACGCCCCAGGTGTTGGCAGGGGTTGCTACACTGCTGGATCAGGGGACCAGATGCCACAGCACCAGGGCCTGTAGAACTGAAAGTGGCACTATTCCAGGCACCTTTTGCCAGGTTTGCAGAAATGGGTGCTTCACACAGTACCTAACCAGCACGACCGTGCATTGAGCTCTCCAGGTGGGAGGCCATGGAATGCAGAAGGACCCAGAGGGTTGGACCTTTAAGAACTTGTACTTTTCAAAGGAAGGGGGCAGAGCCCAGAATAGGTGAGCTGGAGGCAGGGGCCCCCAAAGCCTCAGCTCACTTCCAGCCCTTGTCAGAACACGAGGCTCACTAGGAGCTTTCCATGGTGCTGCAACAACTGAGCTGTTTAGGCTTGGGCTTGACTCAACTTGACACAGCTCAACTCATCTGTGGTCCAATTATTTGCTCTGCCACCCCCCATGCTGTCATTTCATAAGAGTGCTGTAATACTACTGTTCCTTTCAGTGTGTGTTGGTGTGGATTCTTCTGGCCGTACTGGTTGCTCTCTATAAAGAAAAATAAAGATCCTTTGGCTACCTTGTCTCTAAAGCTAAGACTCACACCAGGGAAAATTCTCAAAATTCACCCCCACCAAATATTCCCACCCCCTCACTTTTTCAAATGACTAATAGTGCTAGGCTACAGAATGTATCTGTGAGGAGGTTTGATTGCTTTGTAGGGTGGGTTAATTTGCAGATATTTGCAGCAAGACTGCATGCCCTCAGATGAGGTTACCTGTTGTGTCTCTGAATTCTTCACATCAGGAGTCATGCCTGGATAAGAGAGACTGATGC